TCAGCATAATGTTTTCAAGGTTCATCCATGTTGTAGCATCATCAGACCTCATTCCGTTTTTATGGCTGAATAATATTCCATTGAATGGATAGACCATGTTTTATTTATTCATTCATTCATATGTTGATGGACATTTGGGCTGTTTCCACTTTTTTGGCTATCATGAATAATTCTGCTGTGAACATTCATGTACGCGTATTTTTTGAATTATATATCAGGGAAATTAGTATATTTTTATATATCAGAGAAAATAGTCTTTGGCTTATGATAGGTGTTGCAAATATTGTATTTCAGTTTACCATTTGTCTTTGACTTGGCTTATGGTGGTTTTTGCAAGCAGAGTTCTGAAAAAATTGCTATGTAATTGAACCTGTCCAGGTGGGTTTTGTGACACAGTTAAGAAGGCCATCCTTATACTTGAGGTTATAAAATAATTCTTCCATCAAAGCTTCCACTTATCCACTCATTTCCTTATCAGTCAAACAGGGATTAAAAACAGCCGTACTTGTCCCCCAGGGTTACTGTGAGTACCAAATAAGAAATGATATGAAAGGGCTTTTAGAATATAAAGCAATATATATACAAAAGGCATGTTGTCATCATCACTATTAATTGTATCAGATTCTGGCACTAACTAGCTGAGTTGTTTTTGCTTTCATTTTGCAGAGCAGAGATTGAAGGGCAGAATTATTCACTGAGCCGGCCAAGGATACTTTAGTTGGTAGCAATATGGAGAATGTCACAAAAGATGTCAACTCTTATTAGTCATCTTAGGAGGGTTTCATATTTGACCAGAAAAATAAAATTGCCTTAAACTGAAAACTATTCTGGTCACTCTTCCTTCAAGTAGAGTCTTTTTTTTTTTCCTTTTTCTGCCAAGAAAAGAAACCAGTTCTGTGAGTTTTGTGTTATTCAGCTGTACTTGTAATTTAAACCTCATCAGTGGCCATTTGTGACACGATTTTCTTGTATTTTTAACCCAAATTCTTTTTCTTAAAATATTTTTTCTTGATTTTAGAGAGAGAGAAGAAGGGAGAGGGGGAGAGAGAGAAACATCGATGTAAGAGCAGAACATCAATCAGCTGCCTCCTGAACACCCCCTACTGGGGATTGAGCCCACAACCTGGGCATGTGCCCTGACCAGAAATCGAGCCAGCTACTTTTTGGTGCACAGGACAATGCCCAACCAACTGAGCCACACCGGCCTGGGCCCCAATTTTTTTTTTAAGTAGCAAGCTTTAGGTTGAACACTATTTTTTAAAAAATATTTTATTGGTTTTTTACAGAGAGGAAGGGAGAGGGATAGAGAGTTAGAAACATCGATGAGAGAGAAACATCGATCAGCTGCCTCCTGCACACTCCCCATGGGGGATGTGCCCGCAACCAAGGTACATGCCCTTGACCGGAATCGAACCTGGGACTCCTCAGTCTGCAGGCCGACGCTCCATCCACTGAGCCAAACCGGTTTCGGCAGGTTGAACACTATTGATTGAAAAAAAAAATCAGTATTCGACAGCCATTATTCATATGATAATGGCTCTGAGATAGAATCGTGTACTGGTTAAGTCCTTGGACCCTGATGTTGGTCAGACTTGGGCTTGAATATGATTCAGTTAGTAATCAAGTGTGTGATCTTGGGCAGATTGCTTTGTGCCTCTATTTCACCACACGTAAAGCTAGGATGATTTCAGCACCTGACTGTTGTGTTGCAGCAGAAGTCAGTGATACAGTCTATATAGAGTACTTGGTCCAGTGCCTGTATGGAATGAGGGCTCGGTAAATACTAGCTATTAGTATAATTCAGGAATATCTAAGAAAATTCATAAGATGAGCCCAAGGGAAATGGAATATACCCTTCTAGCAGGTATTCCCATCCTGTGGGGTTGGCACAGATCAATGGTAGAGCCCTTTTCTTGAGGCAGACCACATTTTTTGGGGGGAGAAATCTGGTTTCTGTTACTATCATGTGGTGTGGGGGGTGAACATCTGGAATAGCAGTTGGTTCTCATATAGTAAGTAAGTAAGCAGTTGGTTCTCATATAGTAAGGCCATGTGGAGGGGTGTGTCACAGAAGGGCAGCTGGGAGACTGGGGTGAGCAGCGGGAAGGACTGGAAGGAAAAGGGTGAGGACATTGTGCCAGGGGGCCTTCCCAGGTCACATCACCTGTTCTTGGAGACAGAAGCTTCTGGATGGTGTGATTCACTGTGTGCGGTGATATATTTGCCAGGGCACAGCCCTTTTCTTCTTTCCACTCTTCCTGCTTTTAACCTGTGTGTCTGGGGGTCCCAACTCTTGTCCTAGGTCCAGCATGGTTGAGCCCTAACAAAAAAAAAATAATAACATCTGTGGGATTTCTGCTATATGCCAGGCACTTTAAATCCCCAGTCGCATTAGATCCTGTGCAATGAGTGAGATCATTTTGTAGATGAGAAAACCGAGGCTCAGAGAAGGCCCCCTACAAGCTGGTAAGCGGCAGAGCCAGAATTTAAATCACCATCTGTCTTATACCAGAATCCAGCTTCTCCTGCCATTTAGCACATAGCTCTGTACCATACTTTGCTTCAAATTCATATGGGTTTTTGTGAATTCCTGTGGCTTAGTGCCCTACATACAGGTCTCCCAGAAATATTTATGGCTTTAAAATGTTAGTAGTGGATTTAAAATTTTAGTAATGAAGAGAATAGCTGACATTTATTCGTTCCTGTGTCAAATGGGCAACAAGCAGGTTAAGTCACTTGCTTTCCTTCCCAGAGCTGGTCAGTGGCAGAGCCAGGCAGGGGATCCCGTCTGTCACATGCCAAGGTGTGCAGTGTTGACTCCCATTTTTCTCTGAGAGTCTAGGTGTGAGGCAGGGATGCTAATCTCTGAGCACATCTTTCTCAGGTAACATGTGTGGTGTTCTCTTTTTTAAACTAGTCCAAAGGGGAACCGAAGAGGGCCTGAGTATGTCCATGGGAAGGGGGAGGCAGAGGGGTGATGGCAATGGCTGTGGGCCCGTTGTGATTTATGAACTTTGCAAACTCCTGTCTCTGGGCACGAAGCTGGAATAAGCCCTGTGATTCACCAGCTGGACTTTTCCCTGTGCTTTCTCCAAGTAGATCCTGTGCATTCCCATCTGTAGACCGTAGCTCATACTGTTTGCTCCAAAGGAATGCCCTGCTGCCCACACTCCCCTCGCCATGCCTACCTGGGGAGACCCATTACAGCTCCGCCCTCTCAAGGAAGCCTCAATGGATTGGCATGGGTAATCTATTCATTTCTGAACTTGAGTCAAGTAATTAATTATACATTCAAAAAAGGCAAATGGAAGACTATTTTGAGAAATTTGTGAAAATACCATACTCGGGGGATAATACTAGTACATGTTAACGATAATCTTAACATGTGAAATCCCAGTGGTCAGGGACCCTATATAGTGCTTGATTTCATTGTTCAATCTTATTCTACCTTCAAGGCACATGAAATGGGTTTCAGCTGTCTAGTAGAATGTTTTGAGCATTTGCATGGGCAGAATCTGATCTGGTGTCAGACAGCCTAGGCTTGAATGCTGGTGACCTTGGGTAAGTTACTTCCCATATCTGTGCTTCTGTTCCTTCATTTGTGAAAGGGGGATTACTTATACTATGTTGTTAGGTTGTTGGGGGGGATATCATAGGGTCATAATAATTGCTGTCATTTATTGAGTGCTTCTTATATGCTCGGCACTGTGCTAAGCCTGGCTTTACATTCTTATTTGATCTTCCCAAGAGCTCCTTCATTCCTGAAGTCCCTTACCCTGCAATATTTTCTCTTCTATAGCACTTATCATCTTCTACCATATTACATAATTTACTCATGTTGTTTATTTTTCGTCTGCCCCTCCCAGGGTCTCCTGCCTTGCACAGTTCCACAGGCACCATTCACAGTGCATTCTGAGTTCTGCTCTGAGGATATTAATGTAGTGATTTCCTGGAGTTGTGTGATGTGGAGACCTTGGAGCTTCAGGAAAGCAGGGATTTTCCCGCCTGTTTTGATCACTGCTGTATCTCTGTGCCCAGAACAATGCCTGACCTATAGTAAGCTTTCAGTAAATATTTGTTGAATGAAATGGGCTCTAAAGAGAGCCCATTTTATTGGTGAGAAAACTAAGGCTCAATGAGTACTTAATTTGCCTAAAGCCCAGCGAGAGACAAAGGCAGCTGGGTGTTTCCAGCATGCTTGCCCTCAAAGGGTTTGCAAATCTGCATGTCTGAAATGTCTGGCATTGTCCCTGCTACCCCACAATTGCTCAAAAATATATTAATGAACATGCCTGCACGGGTCAGCCCCTCAACTCTGCTAGACAATTCCCACAGAGTGACAAATTGTCACAGAGCTGTTGCTTTAAGAAATTGGATAAATTGCACAGTACAAAGAAAAGGTGGACCTTTCAGAGATTTTGGAAGAAAATTCCCTAATCCCACTGCTAATGGTAGGAGTTTGTAGGGGCCTCTCTGGCTTTCCTAGCCTGATTCTTTTTCCTGCTGCCTTCCCTTTTGTGACTGTCTCTTCCCCTTTTTGCTTGCAGTGAGTTCTGCTCTCCTGTAGGCTACAATGTGTCAGTTGTTATAAAATCCGGGAGGTGGAGCTTAGTGACGAGGGCGAGGTTGGTGGGGGAGTGCTCAGCCAGCCCTGCAGGGCGAGCAGTCCTACTCTGGGTTCACCGGAGCTTAAGCCTTGCAGCAGAACTTCCTTCTCGCTCTTCTGGCTTTGATCCTCACTGTACATCAGAGCAGAGGCGCTGAAGGGAGGGAGGATGCGAGATGACTGGCCCTTTGGCAACCTGACCATCTCCTTAGCTGAGCCTTGGAAAGACAGCCAGAGACTGACTGCAGCACCAAGGAGGCGCCGCACCTCTTGTGGATGTGTGTCTGTGTGTGTGTGAGTGTGTGAGTGGGTGAATGGGTGTGAGTGAGGGTGTGTGTGTGTGCATTGTGACTGTGTGTGTGCGTGTCCAGATGAGTGTGCGAGTGCATGTGTGAGTGTGTGTGTGTGTGAGTGTGTGTGTGTGTGTGAGTGCTCTTGGTTTTTATTTTTTTGAAGAAAAATCTTGAAAATCTGGGGCAGGTTACTGTGCTCCTAGGGTGGTGGTGATTCTTTTGCAAGAGGAGCTGACCAGACCAATCTACTAGAGACATTTTTCGGCGAGTAAAGATTATTTTCCTTCCAGGAGAGGGATTTTTTCCCCCCTGGCTCTGCAGCCAAGTGAAAGAGATTAGCCCCTAAACCTGTGAAATCGACCAGAGCCGTGTGAGAGAGAATACGGGAAGAAAAGGAGATATAAATTAAATAGCCTGTCAGTGCCTTTGGCCACGTTGGAAGATGTCATCTCAAACTAAGTTCAAGAAAGACAAAGAGATCATTGCTGAATATGAAGCCCAAATAAAAGGTGAGATGCGGGCCGGGGACTCATGCCTCCCCTCCCCTTTCTTATTCCCTTGCTTTGGCTTTTCCCCGTTTTCCTCCCTGCCATGATGAAATGTTGTTATGCATCAATAATCTTATTGTGAGGAGAAACAGTGGCAGCTGTACAAGTCCAGACTGGTTTCAGCTGCAGAGAGCGCTGGTGCTGGGTGTATGGATTATGAAGTGGTAGCGATCACTGCATTGCAGGTGTGCGAGGAGGATCCGACCCCGGATTTAGGAGTGTCTCAGGTACTCCATCATCTTGGCCGTCACATGTCACTCTAAGGCCTCCTGAAAGTCCCTTAATATGGTGTCTATTTGTTACGGTCTACTATGTTTTTTTCTTTCTCCTTGATGTTGTTGTTGCTTTGCCTCTGCGCCTTTCTCTGGGCTGAAATTCACATGCATGTGCCCAGGGAAGTAGCACAGGGAGGCTGCACTGCTTTGTCAGTCTCTTGGTTGGCCTGGGTTGCCATGGATTAACTGTTATGGGGCATATTGATCCAAACTAATGCAGGCATTTAGGTATAAGGAAGGAGCTTGGTGCAGAAAATATATTCTCTTGCAGTGTGCAGCCCCAGTCACCTTCCATGCACTAGCGTTTAGGGTCATCAGCTTTCATTCAAAGCCAACAGCTCAGTGCGCTGTGTCGGCTGGTAGGTGCTGCCTGGCTTCCGTGGTGCCAGGGGAAGCCAGCCAGGAGGGTGAGATGACCTCTGGCTGCGTGTTCCAGCTTCGGTGCACACCCCTCTCAGAAGCCCCTCCCTAAATCCACAATAGCGAGGCGGAAAGGACACTGGACACAATCGCATAGACAAATGCAGGCAGAACCCTCATACAGGCCAGGCTTCTCCCACCCTCATGAGTTCTAGGCTTAGCTTTGGCAAGGAAAACCTGAAAGCACCATTCCTCATACTCACCCTTTCTCTGAGGATGTACCCTTAGGGAAGCTGGGGCCTGCCCCTCTTAGCATCTGTTTTCTTTCTGGTCACAGTTCTCCTTGCTGTGAACGGGTGTGTTGTGGTCTCTCTTAGAAAGAGTAAAGACAGGATACATCTTCAGTGGATGTTGGTGCCTCCCTCCCCTTGAGGTGATGAGTAGACTGTTGGGCAAGTTGGTTATTTGGGGCTCAGCCGATCTGAGGTTGCCACACCTGCTTCTAGGTGCTGCTGCAGCTCAAGACTCAGTGACCCAGAAAGGCGGTTGCCTCCCCAGGAAGGGCCGAAGGCCGGGCAGTCACAGCTTCTGTACACACTTCAGATGCTTGGGAAACTTTGGGAGGGGAGCAGCCATCAGGGGAGAGCCTTAGTTTTTTTCCAGTCTCGCCAACTGTCTTGTGCCTTTTAGTTCTGGTTGAACCTCGCATGCTAATCACCTCTGGGTAGACCCCAGGATGAAATAAGCAGAAAACCCTCTGCTCTCCTCCCTTTTAGTGTTCAGTTCAGTGTAGAAAACAGTGACTTATGATGTTTCAGCCTTCTGAAAATTTAGAAACAAGCCCTTGTCAGAGATTTGAATTTACCTGACTGCTCACTACAAAAACCCAGTTAGGGAGTTTATATTTTCTAAGACTAAATTGTGTGATTTTTAAAAAATACACGGAGGTTCCCTTGAAAAAAGCCATAGTAGAGAAGGGGATGCTGAGTTTTGGACAGGTTGGTAGGATATGTGCTGATTACTTTGAAGGATTGCTACCACTGGGCCAGTGAACTTTGCTGGAAGATCTATTAAACATTTATGGCTCTGGCTGATTCTTTTACTTTTTACATTTCACCTTTATTTTAAAAACTAATTTGCAAATACAAGGTAATGCATTTCAGCAGGAAATGTGCCCAAATGATCTTGTCCCTTCCAGACTCTAAACGCCTCTGCATTCTACTTACAAGAGTTTAAATTTATTCCGTTAGTGTTGACACCCACACAATTAAGGTCAGGATGCTGCTGTGCCCCAAACCATCTGGAGTCTTTTCTTTCAAAATTCTTTGTTCATCATCATTATTATTGTGTGCACAGGGCTCTACAGTTTCTGTGGCTTACTCCCAGATATCACTACTCTTGGTTTACACAAGGTTCAGAAAGGGTTCACATGAACTCGGTGTTAGAGGTGATGAAACTGAAGCTTCGTAATGTTAAATGACTAGCCCAAGGTCACAAGGCTGAAATGTGAAGGCAGCAGGTTTTCTGCCAGGCCCAGTGTTCCCTGATACATTGTTTGCCTGCAGCTGCCCCTGGAAGGATTGATGTCAGTAGCAGATGGCAGTTTTGTGGCGGGGATGGCTGCCTCTTCGTGGCATTCCATTGTTTTCCCTCTTACTTTGATCCCTTGCCTTTGTTGCTTGCCTCTGAAGAATGTTTGACCAATCACCAAAAATAATGCCTGATGCCAGTTATCTTTCTCGCTGGGCAGCATTTGACCAATCTGTTGCAAACACACCACCTAGTTAGACAGATTTTGTCCTCTGTGACTTCTGGGAGGGGAACTTTTGATTTTTTAAAAATGATACTGAGTTCTTTGTAAACGTACTGTCTTTTATCTCTTTTTGGAGAATTTATTGACTCAACAAAGGAAATGTCTTAAAGCAGTTTTTCTTCCTGTTGTAAAAAATTTCAGACTCATGCCTTTTCTTGCTTCATCAGATACTTGAAGTCCTTTGATTAAATACCTGCAATGCAGTAGTATACCATATGCTTGTTTATTTCCAGTGATGGGGAACTCACCACTTCCAAAGCCCACATACTCTATCTTTGGACAGCTCTGGCTGTTGTAAGTGGTTTTATGCTGGGTTAAATAAGTCTCTCATCCATTTATTGGTTCTATAGTATCTGCCCCTTGGGACTTCATAGAACAAGACAGATGCTTCTTCTCCATGACTGCCCATTGGATGTTTGGAGACTCTGATCATAGCCCCTAGACTGTGATTATCCTCATTTGTTGATTTACAATAATTCTCTGCTGCTTATCTTCACTCTCCTTTGACTCTACTGCATCCTCGGTTGCAAACTCCAATGCATTTGGGTGCTTGGCACGTAGAATAAATGAGTGATGATGGCCAAGTAAGATGATTTGTGACAGGTGTTCCACCACCTCAGCAAAGGCAATGTAAGAAGGGGTGGTAGTGATTATGATGGGCCTGAGGGTGCATGTCCTGTACAAATGGGCAATCACTACCTGGATTCAACCAGTTGACCATTTAGGAATGGAGGCCCAGCCAGATCTTTCCATTTTCCAACAGATGGCAAAAATCTGGATGAGAGCTTTATGCTTTTATTTTATATTTTGTTTTATTGCTTAAAGTATTACAAAGAGTATTACATATGTTTTTTCCCCGCCCTTGACAATCCCCTGGCCTCCCCTACCCCCCAGTGTCTTATGTCCATTGGTTATGCTTATATGCATGCATACAAGTCCTTCGGTTGATCTCTTACCCCCCTCCCTCCTGCCCCCCAAATCTCCCCAGCCTTCCCGCTGCAGTTTGACAATCTGTTTGAGGCAGCTCTGCCTCTGTATCTATTATTGTTCAAAAGTTTGTAATGGTCTCTATTATCCATGAATGTGTGAGATCATGTGGTATTTTTCCTTCATTGACTGGCTTATTTCACTTAGCATAATGCTTTCCAGTTCCATCCATGCTGTTGCAAATGGTAAGAGTTCCTTCTTTTTTACAGCAGCATAGTATTCCATCGTGTAGATGTACCACAGTTTTCTAATCCATTCATCTGCTGATGGGCACTTAGGCTGTTTCCAGATATTCGCTATGGTAAATTGTGCTGCTATGAACATAGGGATGCATATATCCTTTCTGATTGGTGTTTCTGGTTTCTTGGGATATATTCCTAGAAGTGGGATCACTGGGTCAAATGGGAGTTCCATTTTTAACTTTTTGAGGAAACTCCATACTGTCTTCCATAGTGGCTGCACCAGTCTGCATTCCCACCAGCAGTGCATGAGTGTTCCCTTTTCTCCGCATCCTCTCGAGCTTTATGCTTTTAAAGAGGTTTTGCCAAATAGACCTCTAAAAGATGATACTATCAAAAGCCTTCTTCAAGAGTGGTACTGAGTTCTAAATGAGATCCTCTAGATGTGGTCAGAGAAAGAAAACAACTACCACCTCTCTTACGCTGTATGTAATGCTTTTATTAATATAGCCCAAGGGTTCAATTAGCCTTTTCACTGCCCAACCCCTCATTGCAAACATATATATTTATATCTGCCCTATTTCTTCAATCCACTAGCTAGGATCCTTGTCAGAGAGAAGGAAAATGAAATGAATTTGATATGATTTGTTCTTGGTGACCCTGTGCTCGTTCCAAGTGGACATTGCTTCCTGACTGGTGTGCTCACAAATGTCCCTTTACAAATCTGTTCAAGAATCTTGCCTGAGAGTGACATCATATTCTCTAGTCAGGAACTGGCAAGTTTTAACTTGTTCCCCTTTTGAAGTTAGAACAACATTTGCCCATCTACAGCTTTTTGGCACCTATCCTATTTTTCATAATTCTCTCAAAGACCACTGATAGTGTTTGGTAATCTTATTTGCAGGCATTCTCAGTATCTTGGGCTCTAATTCATCTTGCTGTCAGACATAATGGTCTGTTCTACATTTATTCAGAGTTCCCATTTCCATTTCAACCTAATGGAAAATTGAAATAGAAACGCAGTGATTGACTTCAGTGTTTTATTTTTTATTACATGCCTCTCATCATTTTAGTCTATCTTAATAGCAAAAGTCTATAATTTTGGGGAAGAAAAGCAGGTATTGAAGAAGATCACAGAGAATGCATTCATTTATGCACTCATTCAATACTACTTTGTTCTTAGTCCTGTGCTGGGTGTTTTGAGAGATGCAAAGTATATGGTATATTCTTGGCTTTCTAACAGTTTTCTTGGAATATGGTGAAAAGAATCAGTGAAGAAAACAACAACACACAAAACACAAAATTTCCAACTGAGGGCCAGATGAGTTCAGTCTTAAAGAGATTGTG